GTGAAAATATGTTATCTATATGTGCCAAATTTATTGGATTGTGATGAACAACACTTTTTTACCGTTATTCAAGATAAGATTAAAAATTATATCAATAAGAAGCAAATATGTATTTCATTAAATTAAAAAGAAAGGCGAAGAGAAGACAATATAAAATAGGTTTACATACCTTAATTACGTCATATGTAAACCTATTTTATATTGTCAATATTCAATTCTCGAGGCAATGATGAATAATGAAGAGAAGAGGTTTCACGTAATCGTACACTCATGACTTATATTAAAAGTAGAAGCCATTAGTCTCCACTTATACACGATACCTTTACTTATACGTACCGTAATAGTGAGTGACTTATATAAATATATTGAATGATTGTTTGAAACAAACTTACCTTTTCTGAAACACTGTCATAGGCTACTATAACGAACAGAAAAGTTACTAGTTGATAAGTCAACCATATCATTGATATTACACTTAAACCTGTTTGTACATAATCGAAAGTCGTTTTTAAGTCACCAGACACATATATCTCCACAATTCGGTCTACAATGATAGAGCACAAACTAGGAGCGACAGAAATCACAGTTTTACAAAACGTATACAGCAAAATCGTAGAATACTTCTGGTTAAATAATTTACTTGCTTTACTGAGATGAAGAAATATTTTACTTATGCGTAGTAAGTTTCGACTTGCCATGCTTTTGTTTTTATCACACATTTGATCTAATAGCGACTTTTTTAGTTTCACTGCAACTTGCGAAAAATTCTGCAATCTTTTAACTTGATGCAATTGGTGCGTTAAGTCAAACAATACACAGGTTATGTATTGTGCGTGGTTTTGAAGAGCCATTGAAGTGTCAAATGGAATACTCAAAACAGCCATGATATCCAAGACAGCGGCTGATCCAAAAAAGAGACTAAAAAATGTAAAAGGCCTCCAAACGTATGTTAGATCGTTCAAATCTAGATGATGATAAAGTAACAAAAGCTCATTGTTCATTTTCTGTAAAATTTCAAATTCTTTTAAAACCTTTCTTCGTGTTAATAGATTAACTATGAGATGTACAACAGGAGCTACACATTGAGACGCAATTAGAGCACAGATTGAAATTTTCTTTATATTGTTCTCGTACAACAACTTCATGAATTTGGGCAGTTGTCCTATAAGGATGCACACGTTGGCTGAAAATAAAACTGTTAGAAATACACAGTAGGCTAATTTTTTTCGAGACATTCTCAAATCATTTGTATGTGATACCATATTGACACAAAATACAGCTTCTGCGATTTCAAGAAATTTATCACGCACTTCAAACTTTGTTTTAAAATACATTACAAAATCGGGTCACCAATTTGGAAGAAGACACTTTGAAAACTACGACAGCATTATTTAAGAAATACTAAAAGCAATACGTTAAGTACATTTCAGTAGCAATATAATAAATGTAGTAGCTATGAATAGACTGACTTGTTAATATTTCAATCGTTATTGATTGCATTTTGGTTACTCTCTGTGTCAACTAGAATGTTGTAAATAATGAAACGTGACAAACCAAGATCTAAAATATAAGAATACAATATAAGTAGGCCATAAAATATAAGTAAATTCAAGAACTATATAATTTTAGAATATGGATTGATAATTTTTCCGATGCTACGTTAGATTTTTAGGTTTAAAAATAAAAGCTTCCTAATTATAATATGGAGGGAGTATCTAGTGGTTAGAGCGCGGGACTCCGGTTCCTGGGATCACGGGTTCAAATCCCGCCAAATCACTTATGGATTTTATCTAAGTGATAATGCCGTAACCCCTACGTCTAAATTGAAGTAATGTGAAAAACAATTCTGGGCTCGTGGCTAGCATCCTAGGAAAAAAAATTATGATAGCCTAAAATTTCTACAGTAGACTTTTCACCTAATACATGATTCTGCATATAAGAAAATTTTCTATTATAAATTTACTAATTCTGTAGTCAATATTCTATAGAAAAATGTTTTGCCCCAAAGAGATATTTAGTTCTAAGGGATGATAGTTTTTACGCACCTAATGGAAAAAACCGTCAACCTGTTATGTATGCATCTGTGCATGTTAACCAACAAACCTAGTAACCATCGATACACATTTCCTGTTACATTAACCTTTTACGAGGTTCTTACTAGTGCCATGATCCATCATCTGTATGTTTATGAAGTTTACTTGTCTTCCATGGATTAAGTATTATTAAAACTATCTTAATTAATAAATGTATACATTGAGATTGTAAAGGGCCTATTACTAAAGAGCAAAACATCTTACTTTACAAAAGTAAATTTGAGAACTTAGTTATATAGAATATTTTTCCTCTATAGAGTTAACTGATGATATTTATTGTCTGGGTGAACCTCAATAAAGCACAAGATAACTTAACATTGTTGTTTGTCATATAAGATAGAGAATGAAAATCAGTTCTTTTACTTTCCGGCTTTTATTGTAACCTACTTCGTTAACACATTTACTCAACTACCCAAAATCAATACTCTTTTTGATACAGTTACTTAGCAACTATAACAAATAGACTGATAAGATTGTACTTTATAATTTGTCTTTCTTCGTTATCTTTAAGATAATCTGAGGTATGATTTCCCCAAAAACACAATTACACCATAATATCATATTTTGCTCCCTGAGTTAGAGATTTTCATATCAAACCTTATTATGTCTCAGTTGCAAAATATACTATGGGCATTATAGGGTTTATTAGGATGGAGTCAATTTTTAAATAATCCCTAAACACAATTGAATACAATGCATAATAGTTGGTAGATAACTGCTTTGCGTTGAAATAAAATAACTTGTAATAAAAAAAAGTAAAGAGCTTTAAGTGGACTGTAATTATGTATATTTCGAAAAAAAAACAATGAATATAACAGTTGTTAATTAAATCATTCCAAATACAAATTTCATAGGAAACAAGCAATTATGGAAGTATGGCAAAGAGTATCAAACAATAGTTGTTAGCGTGATTTTTGTAGATATACCTTTTCTGTGCTTGAAATTTACGAATACTTTACACTAACACAATTGTTTACATCTACTATGAATAACGTAAGTCTTGGTTTGATGAAATTTAAATCAGACTATTGAATTAAAATGTCATTTTTGTCACCTGGAAACGTCCACCCTTCTGTTAAAATTTTGATGCATTAGCAATCATACTTTTTTTTAGGTTTATGTATTTAGACTCATCACTCTTAATTATGGACGCATAGAAATTTTGTTTATAAATCACTGCAGTCATTTTAATTTTTAGCGAATTTCCCTATAGGGAAGTAGCTATTACCGTAGGTCTCATGGTAAGACCTAAGCCCGGGACCGATTTACATTTTCATTTTGATGTCCCCAGAGGCCAAAAACACCATTCGTTCAAATTTTTATATATCTATATATAGATATATATATATATATATATGTGTGTGTGTCCATCCGCACGATAACTTGAGTAATTTTTGTCCGATTTTGATAAAATTTGGTTTGAAGGTGTAAGGTGGGATAAACTTGAATGAGTTCGCGAACCAGCACGATCGGACTATGGGAACGGGGGTTTATGGGGGGTTTTATGGGGTAAAAATAGGTTTTTCCCATTTTTGACCCTAAAAACACAAAATTTTACAATTTCTTTTTAAACCATTTTGTAGAGCTTAAAAATACAAATAATTTAGTATATTGAAGCGTTATTATGCGCCTAACTGTTACGGAGAAAATTCAAAAAAATTGTTATTTTAAATTTCCCATGTTATTCTTATGGAGAATAAGTCAACTGTTGTAGTTTGCTTGTTTATGAACATATTTTGATCAAATTTGGAAAATACATTAATTTCTTACTAAACCACAGTAGTACCTTTTAATATTTTACATAAAAAATACTTTTTTACCCTCCCTGTTGCAGCAAACCTAAGTACTCGTTAAACTAATTCTGTTTAAATAGGGAATAATAATGTGATATTTTTAAGGAGACATTTTAGTTTAAATCCAATCAGGCAAATGGAAATTCGCTAAGTCTGCAGGTTTGCTGCGGCGGGGGTATCTTTCTTTTTACTTAGCTCATTTTTCATCTGTGGTATCCAAACATATTAGACAAAACACTCCTGCGTTAGATTACTACACGAATATTAGAACAATAAGCATTTTGGACCATAAACACAAACAAATGACGTCACGCCCGAAGGGTGATATCACCGTAACCATTGGATTGGGTGTTGTTTGACAGTTATATTTAATAATGATGAAAATATGTTTACTTTTAGACCAGTGATGTAATTTTTTAAATGTTATGATCAGTCCAGACCCAGATCCTTTTAACTGTCAGGAACACCATTATATAAGTTATTTCTATAATTTTAAATCACAGTTTGATATGAGCATATGAGTCAGTAAGTAAACTCATGGTAAACAGAATCAAGAAATTTCAAACGCAAAACTAGTTTCCGCAGTAACGATAAACAAATTACCTCAACCATTCAAAATCATTTATGTAAATTCGTCAACCAGGTTTGATAAATATTCACAATAGGTAACTTGTGTTGCAAAAAACGGCGTCCGTCGGACGAATCCGATGGGTCCTCACCCGAAAACCGAGGTTCAAGTGATCCTTGGAGGGTGCCTATTGTTAGATCAGCTGGGGAGCTGGCGGACATCCTCCAGGCATCGGGAGACACGCTGGTAGTCCTTGACTTCTTCGCCGAATGGTGCGGTCCCTGCAAGATGATCAGTCCGAAGGTGGAAGAAGCCGCCAAAAACAACCCAGACGTGATCTTCCTCAAGGCAAACATAGAGGAAGCTGAAGATCTAAGCGCAAGACACAAAATAAAGCAAGTCCCTACATTTGTATTCTTCAAAAACAAAAGGGTTGTAGACACTTTAGTGGGCACCGATATGAAATTGTTCTTGAATAAAGTCATAGAGTATAAATAAAACTAAATAGTACGGAAATGTTTGTAGTTATTTGATGGTTTGAATGGGTTAGGTGGTGAAGTTAGCTGGGGAAAGTGTTGTGGAGGTGCTTGTAGTTATTTGAAACTGTACGAGAAGGATGGTGTAGCTGGATATACTTCCGAGTACCTGAAAGAACGACAATTATTAAAAAGCGTACAATCTAGGTTTTTAAAAGATTAGGTATATTTTCTAAAATCTAGCATACCCTCTAGTCTTCGCCCCCTTTTATTTAAATTAAAAATATTTTAACATTAAATCACGGTAACATAACTAGATAAATTTTGTTCAAACAAGAACAAAAACATTTCAAATATACATATTTTAATTCAATTAAATTACATAGAAACTTTATGGAAATTTTACATACTGTACTACTTTTGATTCGTACATCGTATTTTTTAATGAAATGTTTCATAACATATAAATACCACAATTGATCATATTTTACTAATAAAGTTAAACTAATAGAGAACTTTATCATGCATCAACTGTCCATCTACCAGGAGCAGGAATTACTAAGTTTTCCAATAAGTAAAAGTAGATTACTTATTATGTTCTAACATCAGAACTTGTTTGGTTCGTCATGTCTGGCATTGCTCTAGTGCGATGATAAACAGTTTCTCTTATATTGTGAGACATATTTAAAAGAGTTAGCATTGCGTTTTAATAGTGTTTTAGGAGAAACTATAATTTTGAAACTGTTAGTTCTATCTAAGAATGGCGAATAGCTAATGTTCTGAAGCTATACCAGGTGGACTGTACATTAAGATATTTTTACCCTATCAACAAAATATCCGTTCTGAATGACAGAATCGAAAACACATTCAGATGAAAGTGATGCATTTTTTACATTATTTTGTTTATACATCGAAACATGATGAGTTAGGACCGCCACTTGAGGTCAAACATGGGTTGTTATGGGAAATAGATTAGTCTAATGTGGGAAATTGATAGACCTCCCCCTCCTCATAAGCTTTTGACATGCTCTGTACCACTCCCTTGAGATGACAGTTCCTCAAGGTGCTGAGTTATTATATTTTGATATAACCATCTGTAATAATTATGACAACTGTTCACTTTCTGAGTTGGTGATACTACTTTTGCACCTTTCCACCAGGTTGCAGCTGGGAAAGCGGCTGGTGTAGTGGTTAGAGCGCGGGACTTCGTTCCCTGGGATCCCGCCAAATCAACAAGCGATTTTATCCAAGTGATAATGCTGCAACCCCTAGGTTTAGCCTGAAGTGATGTGAAAAACAACCCCAAGCTCGTCCTAGGAAAAAACCAGCTTGCAGCCCTGAATCCTTAGTTGGATGTTACCCATCACCATGCTGTTATTTCTGAATATGACAAACAATGGTGATCTTTCCCCAGCTTTTGTCGGAGTGGTGTTTTTTAGCACCAGGATGGAACCCTTAATGCGAATAAATTGAATGTTTTGAATCCCTGACCTGTTTGTTGGTAAATTGTCTTTCAATAACTACAGTCACTGTAACACAAACCACAAACCACTACACAACCACTACAAACCACTATAAATGTTAATTTAACTGTGAACCGGAGTACCTGTAAATGATAATTGTCTATTTGTTGCTAGTTACTGTGACTTTTGTAACCATCTGTTACCCACTTTAATCATAACTGTCTACACTGAAACTGTCTGTAGGACATAAGCTAACTTTTAATGTTTGTGTCTTTTAACTAATGTGTACTGTACACAATATCTATTCATGGGTAGTAGACGGTCCGGGGAATGGTCCCCCCAATCAGAATGCTCCATTTCAGCTTAGGGGAGGGGTGGGGATGAAATGGTGGGGGGAAAGACCACCTCTGTATGGCACATTCAGAAATACCAACTGGTTGACATACTGGTGATGTGTTGGGTAACATTCAACAAAGGATGTAGGGCTGCAACCTGTTTTTTTCCTAGGACGCTAGGCATTAGCCTGGGATTGTTTTTCAAATTACTTCAGGCTAGACCTAGGGGTTGAGGCCTTACCACTTAGATCAAATTCATTGGTGATTTGGTGGGATTTGAACACAGGTCCCTGGAAACCGAAGTCCCACGCTCTAACCACTACACCAGCCGCTCCCCCAGCTCCACCCTTGGGGAAAGGGGCAAAAGTAATATCACCAAGTCAGAAAATGAACAGTTACAATAATCATTAAAGATGGTTAAATCCAAATAAAATAACTAAGCATCTTGAGGAACTGTCATCTCAAGGGTGTGGCACACAGCACGTCAAAAATGTATGAGTAGGGGGAGGACAATCAAATTCCTACTCTTTAATTAGACAAATATATTCCCCATAAGAGCCAATGTTTGAATTCAATTGGCGGCCCTGATGTTAATTTTGTTTAAAGCTAAATTGACATGTAATATTACCATATAAATAAGAGTGAAGTCAATATTACAACAACCGAATGCGCTGAAATGAAAGTCTGAGTGAAGAATCTCCAAAGAAAAATCAAATAACTGCAACAAAGAGAAAAAAACAAATATTTTGAATAGTTTTTAACGTCAAATATTTATTTAAAATTGCTAAATAAAACTGTTAAAAGGTAATTAAAAATTATATTCAAATGTAACTACAATACCTAAATTGAATTAATGAAATAGTTAAGGATTTAAAATTCAAATTACGATAAGCACCCAATAATATATTCCAAAGTATGAAGCACCAAAATAATCAAGTCTCATAAAGTGCATACATAGTAATTACATTATAACATAACAATACACTTTTGTTTCCAATTTTAATGGTTAATTTGTAGACTAAACCCAACACTTTACAACAACTCTCTACCACTCTACTAAACATCAACTCCGGTTTAACGTATACTTAGATTTCTTGGTGTATGCAGTTTGTTAGAAAATTCCGAGACGTTTAAATATATTTTTAACCATTATATATAAAATAGTATGTATTGGTATAGCAATTATACTCATAAAAACCACTCATATATCAGGTATCATTTTTTCGTAAGGGGGCGGGCCTCAAGGAGGAATGGGTTGCTAAAGACATCAAAGTGATCAAAGTGACAAAAGATTCAACAAAACCCGACCTCAAAAAGTTGACTCTATCCAAAATGGCAGCATTTATTTTTCTACTTGCTCCTATTGCTACCCCCCCCCCCCTATCTCATGAGATAAACACTACAGTTCCTTAAAGTGGATTATAATAAGTACCATAGTATACAAATTTATACTTTATTATCTATAATGGTTAAAAATATATTAAACCGTTCCGGGAATTTTAGAACAAACTGTATTAACTTAATATTTATTTTTTTTATTTAATAACTTAACCTATTTAGTATTGGAAAAAGCTTCCCTCTTTTGGTTGAATGCAAATTACAGATTTATTGCAAGAATGAATTATTTAAAGATATTCAAATGTCCTATATACTAAATGAAATTAATTCGTTAAAGTGAGTCTTGGGTTGTTATCGATGAATAATAAATACGATTCATATAGTTTAGTATTAGGTATATGCAAGTCATGTATTAGATTTTTATAAAGTCTTTGATAAATATATTGTAAATTTTACAATGCATCATACTTTACAAATTTCCTTTTTCAAAAAATTGCTTTATTCTAATCGGAAATGAAATAATTATTCGATATTTTCAAGGCACAAGAAAAAATTGTCTAAGTTGGGGTGTTAAGGTAATTATTAATTACGAATAATCTAATAAAATAAAACTATAATTTATCGATTGTCTTCTCGTAGCCAATCCTAGTAAATTTATCAGTTTATAATATAAAACCCCATACCTGCTCAGCAATACTATCGACTTCTTCAGTTGTGACCAATTCATGAAGAGTATTAGCAATTTCGCTCACCTGTAACAATATGGAATTAATCTATAATTAAACATATTTGACATGGTTTATTTAATTTTGTTTACTCTGGATTTTCCTTGAGTTTGTAGACTGTGTTCTGCATGACTATTTTTTAGAAGATACAAGAAAGATTTATCTAAATCTACAATACCACAGGAAAGGAAAGCGACTCCAGTTCCCATTTTCAAGTTATATTAGGTAGTAAAAACTGTTTTGTAACTAAGAAACTATGTTGATTGTAGTTTTTTACGTTTGCAATCAGGTAAAATATCGAACCATGATCTTAAAAACGAATATTAAATGTAGAATGGTTTATTTCATATAAAATTGACTTTAAGATGTACAAGAAGACATTTCGTCTGGACCAAAAATTATTTTTCACCACACTACGATGTTTTTGGCTGTATTACATACATTGGTGGCTGAAAGTTACGTTTTGACCATTCCAGCTGTCATCGGAATTTGGGGACCGAGCAGGTTTTAACATCCCGGGGCCGCAAAATCAGCTGTCTGCTTGCATATTAAACAAACAGTATCCATAGCATTGTTTTATTTTCACCGTTGCCTAGCAACTGAACTGTTTATTATTATTTTGCTGATTCCTGAAATTACTTCTTCACATAACCTTACAGTTGTAGTTGTGTTGACTATCAGTGTGCATTATTATTGGGGTGAATAGTAGTAGTGTGGTGAAAAATAGTGTTCGTACCACGGACCGAAAATGGTTTTGCAGCTCTCGATCGATTTAAGTTCTCGACTTCGTCTCGAATTTAAGAACTATCTCGAGCGGGCAAAACCTGGTTTTAGGCCCTAGGTACGAAATATACTATATTCAAACTGAATCATTCCTAGAATATCAGACTGATTGAGTTACTGCCCAAGACCCATTTCTGTCCTAGCTTAGTTCTTGACACAATGTTTGTTTATATCATAAATATTAGCCCTTTATAGTACTGAAAGTGGTATTTTCCTATTCACACTCGTGTTTCATATGTGATGATTGGAGTAATTGCCAGAAAATCACTTCCGGTATGAAAACGAAAGTCCGGTACTTCCGGTAACGAAAGTGCAAAAATACTCAAATACAGAGTAAAATACCTTAGTGCGATAAAACTTGTTATTTTTTCCAATAAACAGCATTTTAATATCAAAATTAAAGCAAATGGTTATAGAAAAAATATATTAAAACGAGAAATTTAGAAGTTAAAGTTCAAGGTTATGTCCATTACGCAGTGAACGAGCTTTACAAGCTTAAACAATGCTAAAACAATGAAAAACTAACAAATTGATACTTGTTTTCAATTTTGCATTGTTGACCAATAAAGACACCTGATTTCAGCAATAGAAATATCACTAGCGCGTAATGGGCAAATAAAGAACTGATTGAAAGCATCAATCAAGTATTAATCTTATGTAAATTAAGAGCTTGAGTAACAATTATATTCTTTTATCATCACTGTTGGCGAAAATAGGTACTTTCTGTAGATAATAATGAAAGAATTTTCTTCGGTTCGTAATAAATTGTCCTTTTGAATTAGTTTGCTTTAATGTTTGGTGTATACAACCAAAATCAGTATTTGAAAGTAAGAAAATCTTTTAGATGCTCTCTTTTTTGTAATCATATATTTATAGAGTATATTTTTAAGGTCAACTTATTATAAAATAACTTTTAATACTATTACCTAACTTACCTTATATGAAACACTGTTATATACACTAACAACGAAGAGAAAAATTACTAACTGATAAACCAACCAAATCAGAGATATTATGGTTGAGCTGGTTTTTACATAATCGAAAGTCGTTTTTACGTCACTAGACACATAGATCTCCACCATTCGGTCTACAATGATGGTGCACAAACTAGGAGCAACAGAAATCACAGTTTTACAAAACGTAAACACTAAAATCGTAGAGTACTTGTTGTTAAATATCCTACTAGCTTTACAAAGTAGAAGGAATATATTGCTCACTACTAACAGGTTTTGACCTGCTAAGTTTTTGTTTTTCACACGCAGTTGATCCCATAACGAACTATTTAGTTTCACTGCAACTTGGAAAAAACGCTGCAATACTTTCACTTGATGCAATTGGGTTGCCAAATCGAACGAAACACATATGATGTACTGTATGTGGATTCTTAGAACCAATGAGTCGAAACCTAATCTCCAAACAGCAATTATATCTAAGACAACGGTTGATACAAAAAACAAACTCAAGAAGGTAAATGATCTCCATATGTGTCTTGAGTCGTTGAAATCTAAGTTATATTTAAGTATCAAAAGTTCATTATTAATTTTCTGTAATACGCCAATTCCTTTCAAAACCAATCTTTCTGTCAATAGGGTCACGACTAATTGTAAAATAGGAGCTACACATTGAGTTAAAATCAGAACAAGGATTGCAATCTTCTTGGCGTTGTTTTCAACCAAAACATTAACGAAAATAGAAAGTTCTCCCATTAGGACATAGATGTTTGCTGAGAACAAAATTATTAGAAGTAAGCAATAAGCGATTTTTTTACGAGATGTTCCAAAACCATTGTTAGTTTGTGACACCAAATGTACACAAAAAACAGCATCGACGATTTCAAGAACATTGTTACGTACATTGATTGTATTCAAATACATTGTACCAAATTAAACACTATGCATAGAAAGTAGTTTTTTTTTTTTGTGGAACAGCGCAAACATTTAGAGATAAAACTAGCAATATATAGTGGGTACACGGACGTGTCGATTTTTCAACCCTTATTGATTATATTTTAGTCATTCACTGAGTCAGCTGCGCTGTAAATAATAAAACGCGTCAAACCACGAACAAACACAATTAGTTACAAATATCTTTTATGGAAATTGATAATGTTTTTAGGCTTATAATTTATTTCATACACTCTCGAACCTTTAGATCTATACGCATTTTCTTAATATTGAGAACATTCAAAATTTGTTTTTATAAAATCATGTATACTTTATTTGCGTTTCTGGTTCATAATAATGTTTTTTGCCGTGAGTATTGAAGACACACCTGAAAATTTTGTACATTTCTATCAAGAAACTAATTATTAGCTATATGCACTATGATGCCTTAACAGTTGCTAGCTTTTGAACCTTTGCCACTACCATGTGATTTTTATGTATAGAAAATATATCACAGTTTCATTGATTTTTAGTGTTGAATTATCGTAGATGTATTTCCTCCTAAAGAACCTATTGTGTACAGTTTTGTAGTTAGGCGTTCCTACAACCTAAGGTGGAGTGGTTATATCAAATGCGGCCTTGGTAGAGTCCGAATTATCTAATTGACAGACCAATGTTTTGTGGTGTTTTAAATAAAACCTCTAATATTTCACCAAAAGTTATTTTACTTTCTCCCCCTAACATAGTATATGGAGAAATACTTTTTTCATCAAAATTTTCAAGTTTGAGTTTCAAGTGGATATATTTGTTTTGGGTCCCCATGAACACAAAAGTATTTTTTGAAGTGATTTCTGTGTGTATTTGTGGATGTTTACAGAGCTACAGACCATACTTGGGGTCCGATTTTGATAATAAGATGATATTATTGTTAACAAAAGATACATTTAAATGCAAATATATTTTTCTAGATTCTACCGGTGTTATTTCTGTTCATCCGTGTATTTTCGGGGGTGGAAAATCTTTTTGCTGACTAATGATTGTAAATCCAATTAGAATTCTGTCGCATAAACACTGAATGCCATTACGCTCAGTGACAGCGATTCAGCGTTTCCAACGACAAACGAATGACAAATCTAACATCTGTAGAGCTGCTAGCGCTGCATTTATCAATTCATACTGGACAATATTAATATCTACAATCAAATTCTAAGGGACTTAGTTTCATGGATATAGTGCAGTGCATTTCTTAAGCTTTGGTTTAATTTAAATAAGTCTACAAGTAGTATAATTTTAGATTACAGACAAAAATCATAGGTTTATTGGTTAAACTAGCAGATTTGTACTGATTTGATAACATGAGGTAGAAGCAATGACCCAAAACAATTCTTCACCTCAGGACAGTTGATGGATGAAAAATATTATTAGGATATTGGATGGTTATTATGGTTATTATAATGTGTTCTATTCAATTCGAGACCTCTTGCTTCATATTAAATGGAACACTGACCTTTTCCCAGCGTCTATTCATCGGGATTTTCAATCAACGAACTTTTACAAAACCGCCGCAAATCAACCCTGGAATTAAAATGAGTTTTACAATTTTACTTCTTTTTTATAATCTGTGTGCAAGGTGTGGCTTCATGTCGAGTCATTGTTGTTTGCAATTTTAAATATATTTTCGTTGTCGTGTTACGTTAATTATCATTGTTTCTTTGTTGTGTTGTTACCTCGTTGATAAAATTGAGATTATTTTACTGGTGGCAATTGCTTATTGTAATGATCTCAACTATTTATTCCTCTAGGTTCCTGCCGAAATGGTTTTCTACATGACTGCAATTATCATTGGATAAATTTGTAACTTGTATTATTTCAATAGACATGGTTTAGCCCCTGAGCTGAATTGATGACTAATATAAATACCTCGTCACGTTTCTGTATATTACAGCTGTTTCGGCATCAAAATGCCATCCTCAGATACACATACATCCACCTGAATTGGCGTCGTTAAACTGTACACACACACGAACACGATAAAAACATAAAAACACGTAAAACAAGAGACAGGCCTGTCACGTACATGATTGCTACGAGTACGGAAGCTGAAATTGTTTGGTTGTATTATTTTGAATGGCCAATTGCCGTCTATCTATGCAAATCGTCAAATAAAGAAAATATTTAACTGTAAATATAATTAAATAAATAATAATTATCATTATTATTATATTTAGTTATTCATAATCATTACAACTTGCCCCAAATCCTTTTTAGGACCTTTTTTTATTTGAAGGAAAGTAGAATAACACAATGACCTACGTAAGACAAAGATAAATCTAGTAAAAAAATAAACCAAACATTATTTATGCATGAAAACAAATAAGATGCGAAATAAATTAAACTCCAACAAATCTCGAGATTAAACAACAAAATTTCCTAGGATCCACAACAGTCTGTGTACAAAGCGGCTTCTCATAATACAGCTTACGACTGTATCTCCAGCTCAGCTCATCGTGACACAAAGAATCAGCTGATGCCGAGACAAGATTGCGTTTCATGAAAATAATTAAAATATAAATTAATATTTAAAGGGAAAAAATGTGTCTAATATAATTTTGAACCAAAAGATCTACTGTTCGAAAACCTCTTGCATCGGAGGAGAAAATGTATTTGAACCATACCTGATGAATACGAGTTTTTAAAGTGGATATTTAAGCACATCCTCAATCAATGAGCAAAGAATAATTAGGGAATATGGCTTTAAACGCGTTTGAATAATATTAGGGCCTATAGTATAATAAAATGGATATTATAGCAATGCAAATATTTTAACTCAAAATGAGTACTAAAACTATAATACCTACTCAATTATGTATGCGGTATGGTTGTTTTTTAGTTAATAATAATAGTTGAGGTTGTATGTTTTGGTTTTTAACGCACCGACCCAATCACACCAAAATGCCTACCCATACAGATTCTGCTGTATGTAAATGCAGTGTTGAGGCAATTTCCACATAGTTCATACATCTTTTAAATTTAATTTCTACTATTAAGGTTATGAGAACTATAACCTAGTAGTATTATACTTATTACACTTACTATAGTATAATAAGAACCATAACGCTATTCTGAACAATACTAATAGCTACTCAAATGTTGTTTTCAACAAAATACGACGACTATATTTAGTTGGAGTAATTAAGTTTAATTCATGATACAAACCAATTTCAGATAAAGCTATATAGTAACATACGTAAATGTATATAGTATCTTATGTAGCCAATATAGTTATTTCCCGACTATTTAAATTTTATCCAGGAAAGAAAAATATTTTACAAAGTATGCCAAAATACCCATCTCCAATTGGGCAATATCAGTCGCCCATAAAAAAATATTGTAAGATATGTTTTATTACTGTATATTTTCTGTGTTAATGTTTATTCTATTAGTGTAAATATATTTATGGGTGTTAGAATAAATAATCCATATTGTAATACTAAAACATAAACTCTGTCAAGATGTTTCATTACAAAGCAAGCTTTCGGGGTTAAAATCAATTAAATTAAAGTTTATTGCTTTATTTATTTTACTGCATTGAAAAAGCTGCATACACTTCATTCCAACCTTCTTAAAAGAACTATAAATATTACCAAACCCTAAGACCGACTTGATTATATAAGAAGAATGAAGATGAAGTAACGAAGCAAAGGGTAAACAACCAAGAATCGTTTATCTTCATTGCTGAAATAAGCCGGCGATCCTAACTTGAACATATTGTCCAACAATAACAATATACACATAAAAGGTTTTTATATTTGAAAATTTTGTTTTAAATAACAAACTAATGTAAATAAAAAATAAAAAATATCAATATTCATAATAGTAAAAATTTACTAAAAAATATAACTAATGTAAAAACATAATTATTGTAGTGATGTTTTTTTTTACTTAGAGTTTTTATAAAACTATCGGTCATAACCGCAATTTTGACTGAACACATTTTTTACTTGATAAAGTGAGTAAAATAAAGATATGTAACTAGTGTAATGTTACTTAGGATATTACTCAATAATCTAATACATATAAAAATGTTCACAGGAATTTACTTGTTTAATTAAATACCTTAACATAAACTTATGTAGAAGTACATTTCAGTAAATTTCCATATTGCAGAGATTTTGTCATAAATGTATTTTCAATCGTCACCATTAAGGTGACAACACAATATGT